TCATATTATGTAGTTTCTATACATCAAACCTTGTAATTCAGGGTCACATATACAACCTACAAAGCAAAGAAATTGAAAACCTCAGCGTATTCGGTTTAGACTTTTATGCATCACTTATTAACTCACACTAGCTTATGACCCAATAAAATATGAGCAAAAGGAATAATACATGACAAGCTGATTTAATCCTCGTACCTTCAAGCTTTTCCTGTTTTAACAACCATCTACTTTGGCGTTCAAAAGTGAATGGCCAAAAGTTGTTCGAATGACACAGGTGATTTCCCATGATATCCTTCATAATTTGACTTACAGACTGAATATTTGCCAGCTATATTCTGCGAGTTCACGTGCTATTATTCTTCACACGTTTTTACCAAGTCATTGCTATTACCTGGCAATAGAATTCAATTTGCAAGAATGCTGACACATTAGAAGGCCATCATTGAAAAATAGTCTAAAAAATAGAAATAAACATAACATTGCAGGGACATAATATTGTTCCTTTCAAAATACAGGAGATGACTAATGATAGTGTAGTCCAATACAACAGACAAAAGCTCTAAGGACCATCAAGACGATAGAATCCATCAAGTTAAAAGACATTACCACATCGGATGCAGAATTCAGAATGAGTAATCCTATAAAGATTGTTACCATTTGGAAGCTCCAAAAATAAATAAATAAATAAATAAAATTAAAATAAAACTAAAAAATTCCAGAGGCATATATAACTTCAGGAAGCAAGATATCGATTAACTTCGTAAACACCCTTAATGAGTTTTTTTCAGATGAACCTTTTTTCAGATCAACCTGTACATGAGGAAGTGGAATATGAGCTTACTGAGAAATTTCCAATTTGACCCCTCCAAGGTATAGCTAATAAAAATTATCCTGTATGATGTTAAAGTTTAATATAAGAAAAATTCTAAAACATTACTCTTTACATGAATAAACCATACATCTACATATTAATAGAAGAGGTCTACACGTTTGGTCTCTTATGTATTTGTTGGCCGTCACGTTATAAACAAAGAGGCAGCAGCTATGTCCTGTAGGCGTTAACCAGTTTCCATTTACAACCTTAAGAGTCTAAAAATCAAACTATACTTTTATAATTTAGACAACTCCAAAATTTAAGTTGAAGCATTACAGATGCCAAATGCTACCCGTCTTAAATTGAACACTAACAACAAAATTAATCATATGATCACCATGATCGTCTAAATGCCACTGAAACTACACTAAATCTGAACGAAATTTCGTTTTGAACAAGCAATATTGGAAGCATTCACATCAGTAAATATTTGGATCAGCCAAATCCTCTAATTGCAGTGCATTCAGGCAACACATAAAATAGAGGGGAGACATCTGAGACACTGCATGCACCTCAATCCTTACATAGCATCGTACATCTAGTGATTCTCTTCAAACATAAATGTGCAAACTTGAGTCATAGGTTCCTATCCTTGGAAGATATATTAAGCACTTGCTGCCCATAAATTTAACAAACTTAAAACTAAACATGAGTCGTAGGTTCCTATCCTTGGAAGATATATAAAGCACTTGCTGCCCATAAATTTAACAAACTTAAAACTATGTGTAGTTCTAAGATCTATTCTTTAAATTTAAATACTACTCATTTTGCTCAAATTCAGAATCCAACAAGTGACAGCCAAAAATTAAAGCGAAAAACATAAAAATGTTTACATGAAACTCTAGGGATTAACACACTATCAACGAATATATCATCCAAATTATATTACATGTGTGTGTATGCTATATACATGTATTCTTAATAAAAATATTGAAGGAGAGGAAACAAAATAGTCTCATCCATCACACCAAGGTTCACTAACCAATGTAGGTAATTGCCTCATAAGTAAACCTTATAAAATTGGAGCTTGTCATAGTAATAATATTAGTGCATTTAGCTTGATAGCATCAACAGGCCATCATAAAATGAAATTTGTAGCAAGTTCCCACTATTTGGTTAGAGACTACTCTCAGGTTGCAAAAATTGAAATAGTTGACCATGTCTAGGACCGCCAAGCATATTGCTTCTTCTGCAAGAAATTTTGGTTAGAGAATGCCTACAGGTTGCTAACATTTTCCCAACTCAAGTTCTCATTCGATTGCTTCTTCACTTGAAAACTCTTGACCTAGACTAGTGTCATGTTGCTAAAAATGTAATAGTTGATAGCGTCTAGGAATGTCAAAAATATTGCTTCTTTCTGCACCAAATCTAATCTTCGTTAGAGACTGCCTACAGGTTACTCACATGTTACCAAGTCAAGGCCACATGCAATTTGCTTCTTCCCTTCAAAAACTATTGACCCAGGCATACCACCTTTAAAATAAAAAGTTGTCCTCCTAGATAGAAAGAACGCCTAGAACATCAAAAGAGAAAAAGTTAGCACTGATGGCAACAGTAACGCATTGATAGAGATGTGAAGTTTCACTTTCGTTGAAGCATGTTACCAAGTGACACCGGACTACTTCAGGATGCAGTTTGTGCATGATAAACTAGATTCTTGTTAGGTAAAGCACTAGTGAGTGCTCTAAAGAATAAATGGAGGTATAAAGAGTTTGAAAGATCAATATTCTAAAATTAGGCACATTAATGATTAAAAATGTAACCAACAGAGAATTTAAAAGTTAGGTTGATGCCCAGCAAACGCTAGTGTAAACCCTACTATGCATCTGCATATCGTTCACAACAATTAGGATGAAAACTACTGCCATGGTTTTTGTTCCTATTTTTTCATACAGGCATTGAGAGCTTCAACAGTTCTGCTGATGTAGGAAGTTAAATCTCGGCAGAAATTTAATTTTGAAATTGCTTCTTGTTGGGAACTATAGCATACAACACCTTGTTTTTATTCATTATCATTAAAAAGAAGACTCATTGTCTTGTCAGGATTAAGTCCATCTATTATTCTAACAATTCTATTAAATGGTAGGAAAATACAGTTTTACTTGAACAAAGTAATCAACCTGTTCCACTTCTTTTACCTTTCCAAAGGTAGACGAGAAACAAAGGAGAAAAGACCTTATTGCCGCAAATTCAAAGTCGAAACACAGAATACTTCTGTACTTAAATCTTATTTTTCTTTTACATTTAAACTAGTCAGAAACTGAGTTCTTTTGTCTTCTATGTTTTACACTTACTCCTATGGTATATGACCTAACTTCAGGAAACACTAAATGGACAAACAACAATTATGGGTCATTTTAATGGAAGGACATGACTTTGTTTCGTCATTTAACCTAAAGGCTAAAAGGCTAATAAGGGTGGTTAATTTACAAAGAACCACTCCCCCTCTTCAGCGTCAATTAACAAGAATCCTACAAGCTAACGTAACAGCTCTTGATGAAATCAACATTTGAATATACTTTTAAGGCTTTTTTTCTCAGTATCCCTCGGAATATAAGCAGCATCATTTCTCCATCCCACACTACTGCAAGACATCATACCTATTCAAGCAAGAGGTGCATCTATGTCAGAAGCAAGAATCTAACAGAAAGGTTGGTTGGTAGGTAGAATCATAACTTATTTAGTAGTTAGCACTAGTAGACCAGAAATATTAAGACATAAAGAGGTTGTTTGGTAAAATTACCGATATTTAGCACACATTAATATAATTACTCTGAAGCAAATGGGTGGATGGGGATACAGTTGTGGAGTCCTACTTTACCCTTATATCAGTATATATCATGAGGAAAATCAGGAAAACTCATTGCTGCCTCCGTAGACACCATTCATTTGTCTGTATTTTCCACTTTAGAAGGCCGTAGAAGAGAAACCCTCAAAAATGGCAATAACGAAATGGGTGTTGCAGTAACTCGACTCAGCTTAAATGTTCACTGATGACCCTCATTGTTTAATCTCGTTAAAAAGATAAGTATAGAGTGCGCTTGCTTTCTCAATAAGGCATAACCCCATGATACAAAACAAACTCTCACGTTATGCTAGTCTAAACAATGTCATCGACAAACACAGAAAGTAAAGCAGCATGTGGGTAGCTAAAACCCAAGTGTGGATCAATAATAGAAACAGCCAACCCAGAATTAAAGCTTAAAGAAGATGGAAATCCACACCTCGGGGAAGGAGAACCAACTGAATTGCTGCCAAACCCTGCAAACACATTCGAGTACGACTTTGTCAAGTAAGCAAAGTTTGCAACAGGAGGCAACGGAGGCACTCTCTCCCCTTTCCTCAACAGCTCTTCCAAATCCAATCTCTGCAACGTCAAAACAGCCTTAGACTCCTTCCACACAAATGCGAGGTGCCCATTCTCCATCTCGAACAAAGACCCAGGTTTTGATCCCGGGTATCGGAACCCATACCCGTTAGCAATCCCCTCCCCCGCATAACTATTCTTCACTCCAACTCTAACATCATCCCCATCCGTCTCCCACGGGAAGGCATCCAATGACGGCTCATCAACCTTCACGATGAACATTGCAGAGCCATTGGGATGAAGCACGTAATGAGTCCCTTCCAGTATCTTGGTGGCTATTAACAACATTTGACCTTCGACCTCCTCATAAGAGATCAGGAGGAAGAAGAGTGCCTTCCCTGATT